TAAATTCAATTCTGTTAAGAAAAAGTTTTAAAAAAAAGTTACTTGCAGTTGTTATAGAATATATCGATTTTTAAAATCGTTTCATTCATGTAGAAAGCTAATAATATGTGCTATTTTTATTTTAATAAAGAACGAAAATGGAAAAAATATTTGACTGAGCAATCAAAGCATTTATGAAAGAAATTATTAAAACAGTGAAATATCTTTACATGTGAAATTATTAAAAACTTAATTATTGAATAACGGAAGGGAAAAAATAAGAATATTATTCTGTGCTGGAAAACTTCTAACAAGAAATTTCTGCCCATGTATTTGCGTTGTTTCATCAGTTGAGCATGTTTAATAAGCTGATTTCTTTTATTACTAGTTAAATAAAAATTTTCAAGTCTTTCATCTAAGTTTCCTAAAGAGCTTAAAAAAAAAATAAATAAAAAAGGAAAAAGAAAAACCTGTAAAAGGTTTGTGCCTGTAAATGTTGTTTTTCCACTCTCAGCACATTATTGCAAAATAAACAACTGTCTGCAGCTGCATGGTGCTGCCATCTAGTGCAACTTCATAAAAATGTATTTATTTGAATGGAATGATTTAAATTTACTCAATTGTGACGAATAGTTTGCAAATTTTATTTTGTAACTGAGTAATTTTATGGATTGTAATAGTTACGAGGATAAATGAATATTAGTGAAATCAGTTATTGAGTTTTCTAATTTTAAGTAGTAAAACGTCAAACATTAACTCCAAATTCTCTGCGTAACCAATTGTTACCATACTCAAAACTTTTCATGCGAATTTTTTTTTATTCAATAATGTGAATATTGTGAAATATGTGAATGTTGTGAAATACGTGAAGACTAATTTTTAAAAAATTATAATTATTTTAGTATTTCAAATAAATTGGGTGTCTTATTATATATGTAACAACTAAGGAAATACATATACTTTCAGCTGTGACATTTAAAACCATTTTCTATTGAACAAATAAAACTAATTCCTACTCATTTAAAAATTGACGTAAAATAATTCTTTTGTGTAAAAACATGTTTTCTGAATTCAGCTGAATTATTATTTTAGTTTTTCAATAGTTGAATACACTTTTACCCAAAAGGTATCAGTTCTCAACATGTACCACTGTGCCAAAAAAAAAAAAAAAAAAAAAAAAAAAAAAACGGGGGGGGGGGTAGGTCTATATCTCTCATTCTACTGGGCCGATTGACGAAATTCAAATTGCGTTTTTCATATTTCGAAAGCGCGGCTTAGGTATTATATTAGATTTATAGATAGCGTTGTTCTAATATAGGTATTTTGACACAAAAGGGGACTTTTTCTGAAATGACATGCCAATTTTGTTCCAGATCTCGATTCTACGAATCAAATTATACCAAACTGCCAAGTTTTGTAAAAATCGCACGAATAGTTTTTAAAAAATTAGCTTTCAAAATGTTACCTCTTAATATTAATTGAATTTCATAATAAAATTTTTTATTAAGTTTCATTTTTAGACTCATCTCCAAAAAATTAGTTTTTTTATTGAAAATTTGCTTTCTAAAATATACATCAATTTACATATTGGAGCGTTTTGAAATTTTGCATCTTTTTCTTGAGTGATAATAGCACCAAACGATAATGCGCACTTTGTTAAAATTATTTGAAAGTATGAACGATGACTTTTTCCCCCGCCCACCTACAGTGAAAAAAAGAAAAGGACAATAGGTTGCATAACTTAAGAAGTGCGCCAAGTAAATTATTCTTGGCGAAAATTGAAAAAATACGCCAAGATAAATTTTTGAATTTCTCTGCAAATTTAGCACCAAATTTTACAGCATTTAATATTTAGGCGTAATTTGCGTCGTAGAATCGAAACACGGAAAAAAATTCGGCATGTCATGTCAAAATACCTATGTTAGAATGATGCTGTGTATAAATCTAATATATATCCTAAGACGCTCTCTCGAAACATGAAAAACGCAATTGAAATTTTGTCATTTGGCACAGTAGAACGGGAGATATAGAACTGTCTTTTTTTCCCCTGCGCTCTTTACTTTAACAAAAGTTTCTTTTCAGTTATTTATCTCATTTTAAAACTTCTATTGCTTTAATTTTAGAGCAACTGAATTAAACTATAATAAGAATTCATTTACTGTGCATATAACTTATTTGAATATTTGGAGTACAAATAACTAGGAAGATTTATGTAGGAAACAAATGTATTTTAAACTTTACTTGAGTTTCAGCATGAAAGGAAACAAGCAAAAAACACATTTCTGCCAAATTTAGAAGTATCAGTTTTACCAAATTCGATACTTAACACATTTAATCAGAAGTTGTTAATACCCAACTATTTTAAAAATTCATCAAAATATGCATTCAGCGGTTCAGTTTAATCCCAGATGGAAAACTTCCTTATTATTATATTTTTAACCCTTTATGTCCCAAATTGTTTTATTTTTGAAAAGTAGTTTGAAACTTTTTATTACCTTTCTTTATGCGTGAGAAAAATTTCGCATTAAACTTACAAAAATGTTTTAAGTTTTGCATCGCTTTTTTTTTTTTTTTTTCATTTTAAATTGGGGCTTAAAGTCCCTGTGAGACATAATTCAGCGATTTTATAGATTGGATTTTAAAATTTCGCAGGGAAATAAAGGGCTTTAAATAAGTTAGATACAAAATATTACAGTATACATTCGACTATCAGGCAGGGGTAAGAACCATTACTTTTAATCAACTAGAAGTATACTTTTAATCATCTAGAAGTATACTTTTAATCATCTAGAAGTAACTGTTTCATCTTTTTGCTTTCTAATGTTTCTTTGTAGTCAGAAGTACTTTAAGTATGAAGTAATTAAGTTACTATTCCTTAAGACATTATAATAATTGAATTGTGTCGCAGATAACATAAAAAGAAATTATAAATCATTTAAGTTCGTATGTGCTCTTTCTGTATTGGATACCACGCTTTTCTTTTAATTCTTTTAATTAAATATGAAATTAATTAAAAGAATTGTGTCACAGTTAGTAAAAGACTTTTTACTACAAAAATAAGCAAACGTATCATGTATAACAATAAAATGAAGCATGTAACTCTAAATAATTTAATAAAAGAGTTTCAATCTGTATTTTGAATTCATTGCTGCTATTTTTCAAAACGTATTATAAAATTATAGGAAGTTACCTAAATTAATAGCATCAGTGTACTGATAACAACGGAAGAAGAAAAGTGTATTGAATATAATCAGTTTATAAAGGTATTAATCAAATAATTACATTATTATTCAAGTAATGAAATTTTTATCCAGCTAATGCCGGTTAATTAAATTATAAAATTTTTATCTTTTCTTGCAGCAGTTAAACATGCCATGCAATTAAAATATATTCGCTCTGAAATTTCATTTATTTATTTATGTACTTACTTCTTTTGATGATTTGCGGATTTTTATAAAAACAAAGAGAGATGAAATAAAAATATGAAGCATATAAACCAATAAACATGAGGCATGTTAAATTTAAAAAGATTTTTATTTTCTTTTATCGTTCTGTAGATCTCTAAAGTTTTGTTGAAATCGAAATCAGTATAAAAACTGGGAACAATATTTGTGCTACTGGGAATTAAAGTAGATACGTTTTTAACGAATCTGCCATCAAACCCCTTAATTTCCTTTGACAAAAAGGCTTCAGATAGAGGATATGAAAACAGTGATTTTTCACTGTGTATTTTACAAGCATTTTCTAAGTTGCACTCATAACAGATATATGAGCCATCATGACAAAACAGTAATCAAAACCCTGCTTTTTTCCTCATCCAGCAGAGATTTTTTTCCTTTCTTTCAGGTGTTAACTAAGCCTTTTGGATATGATGTCTGTTAAATTATGACGTACAAAATGAGTTTCTGATTAGCTAGTTAAACTCCTCTTTAAATTCATTTTTATTGAACTTTAAAAAGCATTTCAGCTAAAACAAATTTCTCAGATTTAATTTCCTTCAAATCGCAAAAAGATTTGCTCATAATCGTATTTTTAAAAATATTGACTTCTTTCCACAAAGGATCTTTCTGTCTCAAGAATAAGCTTTGAATGATATAAGAATTTTTTTTTCTTAAATTTCAGTTAGAAATATTTTTATTTCTACTTGAATAGAAAATGCTGCTTCCTATAGTTTCCTCCTATAGAAATGAGTTTGTTGGAACCAAAAATTTTTACTATGTTCCGTATTCACGACTTTACAAATTAACCCCTGTTTTAAGAAAAGGTGTCTTATTTGCAAGATGAGAATCGGAGCAGGAAAAATCATATCAAACATCATTTATTGAGTAAATTAAATTCTTCTTTGTATAAATCAACTCGTTAAAAGTCTTCAAACTGTAAACTGAAACAATTCATTCGTTTAATTTTGAGAATAATTCAAAACAGCTCGAAAATTAATGACAACGCGGAAAAATTACTTTATTTAGTAAAAACAGTTTTAAACTTTAGCAGTTTTATCAGTTTCTTAGAAAATTTTATGGAAATTCGCTTAAAAGATTAAAACTAAATAAGGAATTAAATTCAAAGGAAAAATAAAAGTATTTTGAAATTCAGACAAATCAGTTTAATATGTGTACCATTCAATTAAATTAAAGAAGTATCCTTAAAATAATTTATTAAAGATATTTCTTTAATTTAATTGAAATTTAATTTGCAAAATGTTCTGAGATATATGGACAGGGACATTAATTACAACATTTCTGTTGATAGTAACATCTTGTTCACCTATATTTGCAGTGAAATATTTTAATAAAAGTAAATGTAATCTGAAAAGCAAACTCCTGTATTTTGCAAAATAAGAATTATTTAGAAATGTAATCCACCTATCTTTATTTTCCTCAAATGGGAATTTTATTCTTTAACATTTAAAGACTATCAGAGTCTGTTATGGACTCAATATTAACGTTTTTCAGCTGGGTGTAAAGTAAGATGGGAAGTTAATTTTTTTAATCCTTCTTTTCACTATTTTGTTCTCTTTTCAGAGGAATGTGCCAATATCCAGTCTCTTGTAGAATCAGATGGTTTCACAATGCATACGGACGCTTACTCTAGGGATCAACATCAAATGCATGATCTTAAACCGACCAATATGCATGACATAAGACAACATCTTCATCATCAACCGCAACAACCACCACCACCACCTCAACAATACTGCCGAATGGAGGACAGTTATGTTGGTGCTGGGGACTACTTTCCATCTTACGCGTGTCCACCAACTAGCCCCGCATCTAGAAGGTACCTTCTTCTCGATTCCAAACTTCAGGAACCTATCAAGAGACCACTCTCATTCGAAGAACACTTATTACCGTTGCCTGAAGATGACCATCCCTTGGTCATCGACGAAGGGCGACAACAGCATCGTTATGGGGGATTAGAAGATGAGGACGACAGTAATTCCTTGCAGTCATGTAGTCAGCAGAGCGGTAGCACGCCACATTATAATAACAGCTGCTGTGAGATGATGCCTTCTCCTCACTCTGATATGGGTGATGGGAGGAGGATGCTTGAGTGTCAACAACCCTCACCACAAGATCCGTCACTTAGAGGTAAGTTCTTAAAATGTGCATTCATGTGTCTTTTTACTTTCTCCTTTGCTAAACAATGAATAAAAATCTTCCCTACTTAATATTAAAAAGGTAATGAAATTGAGATAAGAAAACATTTACTATGCATGAAATACTATAAAACATTCTATAAACTGTAAAAAAAAAGAAACTTCAGTACATCTTTACAACTTACTTGATAATTATGAAGAATGATTTTAGATGCGGGATCAGTTAAGACATCTTTATCAGACATAACCTAGCCTTCTCTAATGAGAGTTATGGGCCTGATGCAATATTTAAGTAAAACTTTAAAAACGCTTTATGCAGTTTACTAATGCCTATCCATTTAATTTGATGTACACAATCGTAAGTTTCTAAAATCGCGTTTTTGTTTTAGTATGTTTTAATGTAAGAGTTTCATAAGTAAATATCCACAGTTTAATAATAGCTGTAATGCAATTAAAGGTAATAACAGTAATAATACGAGAATAGTCTGAGCCACCTAACAGGCAACATGTAATAAACGCACACAACACAGAAAAAAATCAATCAAACACGAAATCCAATATATTTGCGATTTGAATTAATAGCAACTATGACTTCAGATGCATTTTTTTCAACTTTCAAATTTAATAACATTTTGTTATAATCAACTTTTCCATTAACAAGACTATTAAAGGCCCAGGATTTCAAAATTTGTTAAACTTCGCAGCAGAATTAGAAATATTTATCCAAAAAATTACAAATTTGGTTGTTTTTGGAATCCGAAGAATTATTTCTAAATTGCGTCTTCCCCTTTCGGCTCTCTGTTCAATTTCACTATGCAAGGAAGTGTTCTACAGGCGCGGTATCTTTGTTTAATTCATTTTGAGTTTTATTATGCCTTCGACTATATTGCGGGCCTCTAAACATTTGTCGTTTAACATTAAGATGGCTATTTTCAGTGGGAACACTGAGTATAATTTTTCAAGAGTTCAGCAAATATCTGCAAATAGATTAACTGGCTTACTGGTGAATTCACCGCCGAAAAAATATCGTGAACGGAAACCTGGAGGAGAAAACAGGCAAGAAGAAAACTTTCCAATTCTAAAACATCGCGATACAAAACATTGTCATAGAAAATAAAATGATAACAAAATTTAGCAATCTGAAAACTTCGTAGAACTATCCTGATAAAAAATGAAGCAGGTAGAAAATATCGAAATTTATCTCCCTAGTTTCGACCGATTCTATTAAGATGACAGAAAACCAAAATTAATTGACACCATAAGTGATATTTAGAGAGCAACCCAGTCACTGTATGCAAAGTATTGCATTTGTAAAAGAATATGTTTCAAAGAGTTTTGAAAATCTTAGACGCATAAAATGCATATTTCTGCGGTGAATTTTTCATTCGTGTTTTGCAGTTGATTTATTTTTATCACAATATTTTCAAACAGCGGAGTTTTTTACTACATTATTTTTCACCACCTTATTTACCACTTTTCATTCAATACCTTATATTATTTGCTCTAATTTTTTTTTTTTTTTTTTTTTTTTTTCCCCAACTACAACATTTTGCATTTTGTAAGCCTATGTTTTCTTCACCACATTTTCGTCCGCGATGTTTTGGGCGAATACTAATTAACTGCTTCTTCAAATAATAAAATTTTCATTCATAGTACAAAGTTAAGCATAAAACAAATAAAAACACAAAAATATGTGTTTTCAGATTTCAAAATTTCAGTTTCAAATTAAAATTTCAAATGATTAATATAAGAATTTTATTATTTTCTTTCAGAAAACCATGGCAAAATGTATCTAACTTTTCAACCTTATTCTCTAATTAAGCTCAGTTATTTTTTTAAACTTTTTTAAAACTCTAACATCCTGTTAGTATTCTTTCAAAATAAATCGAATAAAATGCCTATCACTGAAGCTTAAGATTTTGCAAATTAAAATCTGAATAAAGTTGTAAAATCTCGGATACGAAACAATTGTGCTCATTTAAAACTATAATGAATTTTTTTCACTAAATCTAGAATTATCTACTAATCTAGATTTTGTAGCTGAATTGCTGTATTAAGTAGTTAAATTCTGAAAATTTTATTTCTTACATGTTATCTAATAACAGTTCTAGAATTTTTTATAAACCATTAAATAATTAAATACTGACAGATTACTAGAATGTACTGTCAGATTGCAAGACTAGAAGAATTATCTACTAATCTAGATTTTATAGCTGATTTTCGATTTGATTTGAGCAATTTTAATCTTAGATTGATCAATAAACTAAATAACAAAATTGACTTATTACGTAAAAATAAAAATAAGTTATAAATATTAAAATGAGTAAAACTTTGCTAAATCATAATATTCAATTCAACTTATCTACTCTGAGTTATTCAGTTCAAAAGTTTAAAGTTCTCCTAGTTATTGTATAAAAAGGAGAAAAGTTTGGTAACATTTAGTTTATAAATTTTTATGAAATTTCAGATTCCCCCGCCCAAACAAAAATCTTTTAATTTACTCTTGACAAGAAAGGGCCAACATAAGTTTATTTTACCAATATTTTCCGATGTGAAAATAAATACATTCTTTTTACTGAAATTAGTATTATTACTACTAGTTGTTAAAAAAAAAAAAAAAAAAAAAAAAAAAAAAAAAAGTAAATTTTAGAAAAACTTGATCAAGTAACAGGTAACTTTTCACTTACTTAAACATGTAACTTTTTAGTAAAGGAATTTTATTTATTTCATTTTTTTAAATTACCCTGCCGCGAAGACGGGAAAGTAGTTAGCGACGCAAGGCATGGATGTTTATAAATGTATAGTATCTGTGCTGTATGGAGGCGCTCAAAATATGCGGGGAGCCGAACTTCCTCTCGAGAGGTTGCTGATAAGGGAAGACGGGTGAGAGATCCTCGGACTTGTCCCCTCGAAGCTCTCCTTTAAACTGTGGCAGAACTGAGCAAAGTCGGACTGTCGCCTGCATGGTGCTCAAGGCTCTGGCGAACGACAGACGCATATTTCTTGTTACAGTAATAATTCGTGGATTTTTTCTGATTCAGACAAGTGAGATTAATAACAAAAAACAGCAATTTAAGTTCCCCTTAAGATTAATTATCCTCCCAAAAAGTCATTTTATCATTATTTAAAAGATTATTTATGAAAGCGACATTTTTAAGCTACAAATTAAGTGGAAAATGAATTTTTAATTAGATACTTCAAGGCAAATAAAATATTTTGAGTATTATTTAGTTAATGAATGAATTATTTGCCAAACGTCGAATTACCTTCGTCATTTCCTTACTGTGACGGATTATTCATAATTGACGAAGATGCTTAGTGCTGCCATCTATGATCAAAGCATGTAACAATCAAATCATAACAACAAAACTAGCTGATTTAAAACTTGTTTGAAAAAGTAAACATTGTGCTCTGCTGAAGAATTTTATAATTCGATTTAATATTTGCATTTTCAATAAAACAGTATAAAAATATTTATCTAAATAACTGTTCTTGGTAGACGAAATGAATAGCAATATAAAATAATTCATTTTTGCAGTCTGCCTTGAGCGAAAAATTATACGACGAATAGAACTCAGTTTATGTTTATTAAATATTTTTTTTTCGAAATTTCTTATAAAAAGTTCACTTTTATACTAGCTTCTTAAATTTTAATTGAGGAAGAAACTGTTAAGGCATTAAAAAGGAACTCTAGAAAACTGTGTTTAACGTGTATTATAAGAAGTTCAGAATGTTACTAGACGTATAACAAGAATTAATTAAAAGGGTTTGAAACTGAAATTTTTTGCTTAAATTTATATTTAACTTAAAAGGAATTTAAAACATATTTTTTAATATAATAATAAGTATAACAATATTTTCAGTATCGCAAAATGAAAGACTTATACCAGATGCTAAACAGCTGTGTAAAGATTACTTGGAATAATTACGGTATGTAACTGTATAAAAACCCTCTAGATAGGGGTTCCCAAGCAGGGGTGCAAAGTAGAATTTTGTTTAAAATAAATGAAATAAAAGTTTAAAATTTACACGCATGCCATTGGTGCAAGAGCCAAACATATTTCCTTCACATGCAGATTAACAGTGCATATTGTTAGTGTCAGTGTTTAACGTGTATGGGAAGAAATTGTTGATCATATGGAAATAACATCAGAATCATTTGATAGATATTTTAAAGGACGAGAACTGAAAACATCGTAAACCAAGATTATAAACCCGTACTCTTTTAGTTTGGATGATATGTCGGATGATGAAGAACGGAAGGAAGAACTTTTAAGCCTGCACACAAATATGATCCTTGAAACGCAGTTTGAAAGCAATATTTGGAACAATACTGGTGTATGGCAATAAATGTAAGATTACCCTCAATAAGAACATAGTATAGCACGACTTAAACATAACTAAACTACTTTATTTACTAATATGAAATAAAATGAATGAAAAGATAAATTAGTTGAAAGTGAATGTTATAGGTGGTAACCTCACAATTAAAGTCTCAGTTCAAACAGGATTCGATTCAATGAATGAACATTTCTCACACATTATCTGTCTCTTAACAGTTCTACCCCTTAGAAAGTCCTCCACGAAGGCATCCCTCCCCTTAGGCAGATAGCCCTCGAGGCTATGCCATAATTAAATAACCTAATCTAACCTTAACAGTTTTACAGGCACGTCTGCCCTCATATGGCTAGCTCGATATAAGCTTTTCAGCTTGGCTACAGGGAACTTGAGACATTAAAGAAACACGTCTTGTTTCCCACCAACTCTCGGAGAATCTGCAAGCCGTCTGCTTGTCTCCGTTCCTTTCCACGTCTCGAAGCTATCTGGGAAGCTATCTGTCTCGATTGCTCCGCGCTGTGCTAACCTGTGATGACGTCACGTCAGCTGGGTAGAAGTAGAAGTAGAGGGAGTCGAAGAATATGCCACTACATAAATATGTTTCCAAAATTTAATGAAAAAGCATTAATTATCCTCATCCTATTTGGAACGATG